CTATGTTCCGGTCATTTTCGCGTTTCGCGATGTATTAGAGAAATGATCAGCGTCTAAAATTAGGCATGCACACCAATTCTTAGCAAATTCCCTCAAGTCACTTTCGAGATAACTTTTTGACATCGGCAACTTTAACGGCCGATTTAACCCCGAAATTAAACTGTTAAAATTCTCAAAATAGTGCCACCCCACTAATTCGACCATGCTCTTTCAGATGGCGTCAAAAAAACAGCGTCGAAAAAACTGTGCCAAGCCATATTAGGGGCTGTTCGAGTGACTCGCGGATGGCCTTTTAAGCCCATTTGCGTTATTTTCTCAAAATTTTTGCAACGGAGTTTCATTGAGCATCGAAAAGTATATTAAGTGTTTTTGTTTTAGCTCAAAGTCTTGTAATATAAAAAAGTTATGGTAAGAACTTTCAAAATCGTGTACAGCGGCGGTTTTTCGACATTTTCGCCACTTTAAAAACGCCATTCGATAGAGCATCCAAAAATATACTAAGAGTTCTAACACACACACATTATTTTTTATATATAGTTGGATTCAAAATAATGCAATATAAAATAGTTATGACAAAATAGTTAGGTCGGCCCCAAAAGTCTGTTCCCCCCGCGTAAAATTCCCCCGCATGGCTTACACAACAAATTATTTTTATTGATTTGGAAATGCCCGTACAATATTAGGAAGCGCTTTCGTAATCGTTTTAATAAAATAACTATTAAAAACTAGGCTAAAAACTATTTGAACCGTAACCCTTTTTCCAGACGAAACCTGGTATTGCCAATGCGGTACTGATAACTGCAACGGGTGGGACATTCCTGCACTGAAAAAGGCGGTGGAAGACGGCCCGCCCACCACAACGACTACAACGACGACAACCCCACCACCTCCAACGCCAGTGCCATCACCATTGCGCACCGGCACGACTATAACAATTGATTGCTTCTATTGCGCCTCGAACTATAGCGACAACCCAATAGCACCGATGATGCCCGGATGCTGGGATGGTGGACAGGTAAATGATCTTTGTTATAAACAACCAGATGGTTACATCGCTTCGCGGCTGTAACCATCTGGCATTCGTGCTATCCTACATGTCCTACCCCACCACATCCGCCTACCCCATCAATACACACGCTAACGGCTGCAGATAACCCCCCCCATAGCCGAAATCCCCTTCAAAAACTACCTAGATACAGTAACGGACAAAAGTTTATCACCTCCGTTTTTCCGACGTTCTGGCGCGATTTCCCGGAAATCCCCGGCCATAAAACTTTTAATTTACAATTTATTAGATGTAAAATTACACGCTGATTCCGAATTTGAGACTTTTAGAGCCGAAAAATTTGATTTTAAGGGTCAAAATTGCGAATAACTTTTTACCCTAAAACAAGGTAAAAAACTAACTTTTGCTGTGACGTTTTCGAGGGGCGCCATTGTGATATTCGTAATCTCCGATGTCAAATTAGCTAGAATGAGTGGTTGAGACTCCGCAAAACAAGTGCTCCGGGCGGGGGTCGAACCCGCATCCTATGGCTTTCGAGTCCGATGCCTACCTATTGAGCTACCCACGCGGAATGCCTCTCTCAGGGCAGCTATCCACGCCGGGCCCTCACATCCACCCAAACTATTGACTTTTTGGTCAAAAATGTATGAAAGATGATCCGAAAAAGTTCAACATTTTCGAATTTTTGAAATTTTCAAAAATATTGTTTATACCTTTCTAGAAATGAGAAAGCACTAAAAACGCAAGAAAATAGATAATATATCAGCGGCAGCTAGGCATAGGTGGAAAAGCAAAATTTGGTTTCCTCCTGCCAAATAACCCCCCCCCGCGCTAACAGTCCAGAACCATTTTCTGCTACGCCATTCAATAGATAAATCGATAAAGAATATGCTAAGTGTTTTGTGCCAACAGTCTGTAATCCCCGCATAAAATTCTTCTAAACCTCGCCTAGGGATTGGCGCAGCAGACAAGATACTACGATGGGCGCTGCGGAGTGCCGGGCGAGTACTGCCAGATGAATGCCAAATTCTTCTATAATACTACTCTTCATCCGCTCGTCGAGAGATTCTGCGTGAAAGGGACTGATCCGACGTGTACGATTGACCACCACGATGACGGTGGGTCAGCTAGGAATTTCAGACATTTTGCAACGTTTTGTGGTTCTGTCGCATTATCGGTTTGCGGGCCAGGGTTGAAAAGGCGCGAAGAGGTTTTTCAGCCCTGGTTTATATTAAAAAATATCAAAAATATGGGGGCTTTCGACCTAACATGGGCGTTTTTGACCAAAATTTCGACTTTTTAGATAGTTTTTTTGCAGGGTTTTTGATGGGTTGCGGATGCGAGGGCCGACTGTGCAACTCCTGGAACGCGACGACACTCAGGGCGATGGCGGAAGCTTACCGCGGCCCCGCCCTGAACCTGACAGCCACCGTCTTCACCACATCCACGGCATCCACCCCCTCCAGCATTGCCATCTCTCTCCTCCTCGGCTTCATCAGTGTGTTTGGTTGAATATGATGGATGTATTGGGTGTATTGCGGTGAAAAACGAATTTTTGTGGTGTACATTTGTTGGTGTTATGAATAAATTGTGTTCGGGGAACGTCATTGTCTCCAAAATCATTTGTTGAGTAGCGGTGTCGATAAACCGCTTCGCGGCTTTCTACCTTGGCGCCATCCAGCACCTATGAAAGCCGTTATTCCGCTTCCGGCGTAGACAAATTGCTGCGTAACAAAGAGCGTGACCGAGATTCTCACAAATAACTTTTTGTGATCGCGAAATAAATATTTTTCACGAATCTTATGTGTGGATATGCGTCCATGGCCCATTTTACACCTCAAGACGTTTTTCTCCTATCTATCAGGTTGGAACGAAAGTTCTGTCGCCGAGATTTTGGAGGGCTGGCTAAATTCGTAGATAGCTCCATTCTGCACACGCGATATGTCATTTTGTAGCTCTCGGCTTGAATGGTTCCGGGAGGAGGGTCCTGGGCCCTCAAAATCAAGAACGGCCGAGACACAGGCCCAAGAAGAGTTTTCAAAAATTACGCGAAAGTGTTTTTGCAAGTTATCTTTGCATAGAGCCATTTGCATGCGATACCTTTAACGCCAATCGATAGCTCTCGAGGAGTAGATATCGATAGATGTTGAGATCATCAAATTTCGACATCGGATGGCCGAGATATGGCCTCTTGAAATTTGGCCCATTCCTTAGAACTTTTCCCGAAATCCCATACATTTTGTCAAAATCCGTGCCGATAGTCCAAAAATAAAGCGGTAATTTTCGGCACCTGTCCGTTAAATTTTTGGAAATGTATGGGAAATCGAGAAAAGTTCTAAGGAATGGGCCAAATTTCAAGAGGCCATATCTCGGCCATCCGATGTCGAAATTTGATGATCTCAACATCTATCGATATCTACTCCTCGAGAGCTATCGATTGGCGTTAAAGGTATCGCATGCAAATGGCTCTATGCAAAGATAACTTGCAAAAACACTTTCGCGTAATTTTTGAAAAATCTTCTTGGGCCTGTGTCTCGGCCGTTCTTGATTTTGAGGGCCCAGGACCCTCCTCCCGGAACCATTCAAGCCGAGAGCTACAAAATGACATATCGCGTGTGCAGAATGGAGCTATCTACGAATTTGGCCAGCCCTCCAAAATCTCGGCGACAGAACTTTCGTTCCAACCTAATAAAATGGACTCCATGAGGATGTAGGTGCCGAATATCGTTGAGAACGTGGGCATGCAAATACGGACAGACAATCAACACTGTTTTTTTCATAAAAAGGATTCGATGGCAGCTAGCTTTCAAATACGCGTCGCTGGTTGAAATTTTCGTCGCGTTCGAACCGAAATCGAAAAAATCGAAACGGGTTTTTTGTGGCCCTCTGTACTTGACTTCTTGCTGGAAATAACCGTTTGGTATATGTCGGCTACGCGGGGGGGAAATTTTACGCGGGGGGACTGTTGGGGCCGAGCTAACTATTTTTTTTGCGTTTCTTTTTGCTACAAACAAAACTCTTAGTATATTTTTCGACGCTCTGTCGAATGGCACTAAAGAAATTTTGTAAAAATGTCGAAAATGTCGAAAACTTGATTTCCTTCTATGTCCTCCATGGAAACAACGTTTAATACTGTTTTTGTTATAACTATTTTATATTACATTATTTTGAGCTAAAATTAAAACTATTAGGATATTTTTGGATGCTCTATCGAATGGCATCTTTAAAATGTCGAAAAAAATAGCGCGAATGTCAAAAAACAGCGGCTCAAACCGATTTTCAAAGCTTATTTTTGTATTTGCCATAACTTTTTTATATTACACTAATTTGAGCTAAAACAAAAACTCTTAGTATATTTTTCGGTGCTCTATCGAATGCCGTAGAAAAAATTCCAAGAAAATAACGAGAACATCCAAAAAGGCCTGCCTGTCCCGTCCCCCCCCGCGTAAAATCCCCCCCGCGTAGCCGACATATACCAATGCCATTTCAATGTCAAGTACACAAATAATTTATTTACATTGTCACACACTGAAAAAAAGTGAATTTGGCGACGGGGCGAAGGCACTGAACGGGATTTTGGGTGCGGAAATGTTACAAATGTAACGGACATACAAAAATCATGAAGAGCACAACCGGTAGGAGTCGGGGGGAAGAATCGACAAGACTTTTCGGGGAGGGCATAAGTAGATCAAGAATTTATAAACAAAAAAGGAGAAAATGTGAATTTCAATGATGGCTAAGCGGGTTTTGTAGAAAGCTGTAAAGTAGCACAACTAAAACGAGAGAGAGGGTGAGAGTGAGGAAGAGAAAGGGAGAGAGAGAGAGAGAGAGAGAGAGAGAGAGAGCGAAAAGCCAAAAAAATAAACGTGAAAAACTGAATGTACAATGGCGTTTTGTTTTGGCTTGGGAAATGGGTGGATGGCTAGAAGAGAACCGGATCAGCGGAATTTCAAAAAGTTGGGTATTTTTAATGAAAAAAAACCCAAGAAATTTAGATCAAACCCTCGATATTCGGGGGCGGGATGTGGGGCAGGTCCTTGGCGTGGTGTTCCTCTTCCCATTGTGGCCGGTATTCGCCGTGGTTTTTCCGCTTGTCCTTCATGTAGCGCATGCCGATAAAGATGCCGATGGCGATGAGGGCGAGGAGTACCTGAAAAGGTGCGCAGTTATCAATCACCATAAAGCTTTTGGTCCTCAGCTTCAGCGAAGCCTAAACTAAGCCGAAGTGAAGCTTAAGCTAAGCCTAAGCTAAGCCTAAGCTAGGCCTAAGCTAAGCCTATGCTAAGCCTAAGCCATGCCTAAGCTAAGCCTATGCTAAACCTAAGCTAAGCTTAAGCTAAGCCTAAGCTAGGCCTGAGCTAAGCCTATGCTAAGCCTAAGCCAAGCCTAAGCTAAGCCTATGCTAAACCTAAGCTAAGACTAAGCTAAGCCTAAGCTAAGCATAAGCTAAGCCTAAGCTAAGCCGAAGCTAAGCCTGAGCTAAGCCTAAGCTAAGCCTAAGCCAACCTGGACGAATTCTAAGCTTCCTAGTTCCTTTAAAGCCTACCAGAACTCCAATAACAATCCCGGCAATTGCCCCGCCACCCAGACCGCCAGAATGTTCAGTGACGGCTTCGACAGTTGAGGTGATTAAAGTGGTAGCAACTGTCGGTTCCGCGGCTGGAGCATCCGAGAAGTTTCCCTGTCGTAATCGGATCGACACGGCAAGTAAGGACTTACTATAGCGGCGTTTAGACGATTGCTGGTAAGAAGCTCTTGCTTCGCCCTGAAAGTTGGTACGATTAAATTTCTCTCATTTATTTTTATAACATAAGATGACACTAAATTTTAGTTCGCTTAAATTTTGTCAATAAAAACTAAGGGGGGTTTGAGGCTCCTTTCTGTTCCTCTAACTATAACGCACGCTGGTGAAATATGGATTTTTTGCACTATGCAAATTCCCAAAAATTACGTCCGAAAATTTTTATTTGATTTGCCGGTATTTATTATATTTGTATATCTATCTATTATATCTCCAAATACTCACAAATCTGTCCTTGTATAATTCGTGTCAACGGCCATACTGAGAAAATGCTTTAGGGCGGCCTCAAGGACTGGCGGGGCGACCTCAGATCGCTGCAAAAAATTAAAATTTTCATCTGTCTGACTGTTGCTTATTACGAAGCTTCGAAAATTACTTACCGAAAGTGGGCAGACGCAGTATAAGTCTTTGCCGGTAGCAGATTGGCAGCCGGTGAGGATCGGGGCTGTGGTTTCGGCTGAAAATGGTAAAACGTAAACTTCAGACCAAGAGAAAAATCTGACATACAGTAGATAACGAGGTTTAAGGATCGGGAGTTAAAATATATTTAAAAAACACGGAATTATGGAATTGCTAAATCCCTTTCGAGAATGCCCCAAAAATAGAAAAAATTAAGCGTGCTTGAAAGGGGTCAACTCGTACATAACACGTACGTCTCTTTCCGGTGAGGTCCTATCCACAATCGGCCAAAAGTGAACCGATTACGATGGGAAAACCGGGCAGACGCGCAAGATGGAGCGGAGCGCTTCCTTACGTTTTATACGAATTAGCACGAGCTTTTCAGATTAGGTCAGCGTAAAGTAAAGTATCAGATCCGGATACGCGGGAACGCGTGCGTGTAGTGCATGAGCAGTTAGTCGTCGTCGGCTTTGTGGAGGCTGGGTAAATGCAAACAGGACACATGCGGAATGGAAGGCCTCCAATGAATGGGACTTGGTGGAGGGGTTGGTGGGGGTGGGTATACCAGAGGGGAGAAATTCTATCCCTCCAGGGCCAGGTGGTGGGCGCGTGTGCCTCTGGAGACTTTTCAAACATGTCAAATACCAAAAATGCGTAAGTTAAACTCGAGATAGCTATTGCTTTAAAAGCTCTTTAAATTATGAAGTGCTTTGAAAATTATTGTAAAAGATGAAAACGGAACAAAATTCAAAGCTAGTAGCTAGCTTTTTTTTCTCTTTCCAGCCAATGCGTTTTGAATTTTGAATTTTTTAATTTAAATTTTAAAGGTTACTTTTAGAGGCATAATAATTATATAAAATCTCCTTAAATTTATTAGGAATTCAGAAGTTTCGAATTGAATGACTTCATAAACCAGGGTATCAAATAACTAGGCGTCGTCTAAACACAACGCATTTTTTTCGGATTAGAAAGTATTAGTGTTATCAGGCCCGCAAAGTCAAAAAAATTAAAAAATAAATGTAAAGTTGCCATTTTTGCTATTAAAATTAGATTTTACAACATTGGCATACACGATGTGAAAAATCAAAAATTCTCATAAATCAATCTCAGTAATTCTAAAAAAATTGGCGCCGTTTTATAAAAACTTTCGCTACTTTCCCTGTCTTATCAAATTAGGTAGCAAAAGTACGCGGGGGTCGGTTGGTTCGGGGTGGGCCAAGTGGAACGGGCGATTAGGGTCCAATTCCTCCCGTTTGGCCTTCTTTTGGCCGTTCCAAATGTCCTCAAGAGCAGAAAAAAGAGCTTCACATCACTTAATCAAAACAAAACAAGCACTTTTAGGGGGTTAGGGGAACGGACTGGAGCTTGATTAGTTCAAAGAAAATCGGCGAGAGGGTCCGAAATGAGCCATTCCACTATTTTTAAAATAGCTTTTACAATCTTGCGAAATGAAGCCAGTTTTGCCTGAAAATCCACGCAAATCCCGGGGGTTTTGCTTGGAAAATGGTCGCCTGGCAACCGAAAATTGGGGGCCCTCGATTTTGAATGGCCGTTCCGTGGGCATGCAAATGACAGTGGAAGGAGCGTTTAAAAATAGCAAAAATCATGGGCAGGGAGAACTCGATCGAAATTAGGTATCGAAAAGTATCCATCGTTTTTAACGATACCGCAAGTTCCTCAGAAAAAAAGCTACACGGTTAGGGACAACAAGAGCGTCTACGGTAGCTTCTTTAGAGGAATATTCCAAAAAAATATTTTGATTTACAGAAAACGCGACGAAGTTCGAGGAAAAGTACAAAAAAAACCCGCAACTCGTAAAAATCAGAACAAGACTGAAAAATTACTGTAGCAAACACATTTTCACAATTTTACAATTTTATGAAAATATTCCTCTATAAATACCCTTCCCAAAAAGGTGTGAGACCAGTTCCGGGGGTGGGGCGTTGGTCGTCGGTTGGTGCGGATTATTTTCCAACGAAAATATGGGCAGTGTATAGGGTCTTTTGTGGAGAATAGAGCTGTTCCATCAGATTCTCGGTCGGAAGGAAGGGGATCGGTCCCACCCTATGCAGAGGGGGAGAGCGAGAGAGAGAGAGATAGAGAGAGAGAGAGAGAGAGAGAGAGAGGAGAGAGAGAGCGATACAGAAAGGGATAGAGAAGGAGGTGGAGAGAGCGAGAGAGAGATGGAAGTTGTTTGACCAACATAAACCATCAGAAAAGCAGGGTGAAACCTGAGGGGTAGGGAAGTCATGGCAGCCAATTCGGATCAAAGTACGGAAAGATAGTTTTTGTTAGAGACGCATTCTGAAAAAAAAAGTTGAATCCGCTTTAAAGGAATAGTGACAATACGGTATAGCTAGTTGATATTGTTATATAGATATTCATGCGGATTAAAGGCATCACGAAGCCGAAATCGATCCCTGTGGCATCTAAATCTTGACATTAAGAGATACTCCAAAGGAGGGATGCATGCGCAATGTTTTTTTCTTTACTATCCAGGGGGCTGTAAACTGAGGAATAGTGTAATTTGGAGCCTCACGTAGCTGTCTAGATCCAGTCGACCAAGTAGGTCTATCGAGAAAATCCATGGATCATCATCTAATTATTATTAACCGTATTGGGTTCAAGGACTACTTTGCTTCTAGACAAAAGTAACAAAGCTATTAATGCATACTTACAAAAAATTAGCCATACATTCAAGCGCTAAAAAAGGTAACAACATAACAATTTGGGTGGATTTATACGACAGCCACTCTTTAGAGCAATATTAAACCGGTTTGTGTGGCCATAAAGAGAGAGGCAAGTTTCTAAAATAAGAAAGAAAAACGTAATTTGCCAAATTTGTCAGTTATTAGTGCGAATCGAGAACATCACCCTCATATCCCATTTCGAAGACGCATAAAATCGACGTCTCCCTTCGGGGGCGATGAAAATAACCACCAGCAATGGTCAACCACTCGCCCCAAACACATCGCCAACCACTCCTTTTCGTATAATCATTCGTGTCAACAGAAAGGGGAAGATGGGGAAATGTATGTAGCGGATGGGCCTGGTTTCGATGATGGTATATTAAAATGCAAGGAAACACGATAGTTTGCTAAAACGCGCAAAATAGTAGGGGCATAATGTACAAACGTAGCAAGTTTTGCGTTTCGAATGAGAGACAAAGGGAATGAGCGAGAGCGTGAGAGGGAGCAAGAGTAAGAGAGTGACAGAGGGGGGGGGAGAGAGAGAGAGAGAGAGAGAGAGAGAAAGCGAGATGGAGAGAACGAGAGATCGAGAGAGAGCGAGAGAGTTAGAGAGACAACGCGAAAATGGACGAATTCGGCCATAAAGAATTAACCTAGGATACCTTAATTCAGTCCCCTAGACATGGAAACATGCTGGGCAATACTCTTTTAGCGGGGCCCGTTGTTTTGGCTCGGACGGAAATAGGAGCAAAAAGAAATCGATGACGTGGAAATTGGACGGCAAGGACAATCTGAGAGAGCTGAGAAACTTGCCCTGGACTGTACTAGTCGCCTGGAAAAATCCTAATTTTCCGCTACAAGGCTAAATTCATTTTTTTACCGAATTTTCAAAACAAAGAGCTGAGAATTTTTGAGCAATTTTCAGGTTTAAAAAGGTAATAATTAGTTTTTGGCTAACGTGGAGTAGATATTTGCACCTATAGAGCTCAACAAAGCAAAGTATTTACACGCATTCAGAGCCTTGAAGCACACTTGAAAACGATCCGCTACGCTCGACGCTCGGTGACCTGAACCTTGAAATCTATCGGAAGTAAAGGTAAATATTTACACACTACCTTAAATGAGCGACTATCCATTAATGGGTTACTAAAAACGCGAATTCGAAAAAGCTTCGGTCAAATTTTTGCTTGAACACTTTAAAATTGGCCGAGTGCTTTCTGGAAAATGTCTAGAAAATCACAAGTATTGGAAACCACAATAACACATAAATAACATAAAAACGCGCGAATCCCGATATGGCGGGTGCCGTAACATTCCGAAAATAGCCAATTTGCGCCCGTCCTGCCACCCAGGTTTCCGGGAGAAAAACAGGTTCTCACCACCTACGCCTCAAACACACCCAACCACCTCCACCTATCGGCAGCTGCCGTTAAAGCGGGGCGTGGAAGAATTAAATTAGTGAAATTCGCAAGGAGACAAAAGTACGCTGTAATGGATACCACCAAAAATTTGATTCTAGATCACCCAAAAAAATCTTAACTAAGTAAATGTCACGGTAATTTGGGCCCGGAAAACGTCAGGAAATAAGGAACGGATGGCAGGGTTCAAAATTCAGCTTTAGTTTCTGGTATAGTCCATGAAAATTACGTTACTTCCTGTTAAAAACAAGTTTAAAATCCAGATTTTTCGAAAAATTCTCGAAAAGGCGACATTCGCTGCCCCCATCCCCTGCGGTGGTCGGCTGTCACAAATTTGATGAATTATGCGGGGAGGGGACTGCGGCGAGAAGTCTTGGGGGCAACCATAATTTTTGCGGAAATTTGGAGATTGAGGGAATACGCCTTGTTTTGACGTTCCAGTTTCCTGAAAAACTCTAAAAATGGCGTTTCTGCGCACGCAACGTGGCCGTGACGCGTTGGCATGCGCATGGAAAGGAATTCGTTTGAAGGGCTCATAATCACTTCAAATAATACGATGGAACTCATGAAGAAACCTAACTACAAACTATACTTCGGTAGTTTGCTAATTTTGGAATTGTAAGTCTCCCGGCCTCGAGTAAATTACCGTACTTAGCTGAGAAAAATTATGGTGTTACGGCTTGAAATCACTGGGAGATCAAGCGTACTTTCAGGTACCTTTAATTTTTGTACAAATATACAAAAATACACAAATACAAATAAAAATTTAGTGCAAACCACAAACTACAATAAAATGCGTTTAATAAAATCCCGAAGAAAGGTAGAGAAAACAATAAGAAAAGAGCAAGAACAACAGAGTCAGAGAAATTGATATATTGGAAGCTGAGAACGCGGCGTCCTGAATATTGCTGTTTCTTCTCGCTTTTTCTCGGCGGCTTCTCATAACACCGGTGGTGGGGGGTTGTTAGTCAGCCCCTCAGCGTGCTGTGAATCGGCCCCGGTCGCGCCCTGCATTCAGGAATGTACACAAAAATACTGATTACGCCCGGGGAATTGATTGAGGCAGTGGAATCAGGAAGAGGGTGTGTTGATGAGGTGTCAACAGTAGCTTAATGAAAGATTCAGTTTTTTAGAGGCACCACAATTCAGACAAAATAAACCGCTCGAGTCATTTGGTGTCATATATTGAGCGCAAAATCCAATTTTTATAGTTAGATTATGGAAAAAAAATTCAAATAATGCAAAATTTGGAAGAAAAATAATTTTTCGAAATTCGACTGGCCCGAAAATCGATAAAACCGCTAATTTAACCCATAAAACAAACGAATAAAATAGCTTTAGGTTGCAAAAAGGCATATTTTAGGTTTCACGGTGAAGTTGACCGCACCGACCTTGAAATACGCCTCAACTTTCTTGATGCCTATTACAGAAGGGTCTAGATGGGCACCTCCTCACCCCTCAACCCTTGTGCTCGGATTAATTAAATGTGAGCACGGGCATTACGCACTTTTTGCGGTGGCCTTGCCCGGGAATTGGACCGGCAGGATATGGGGGCTTGGTGAAGATCCAAGAAATTGGGATAGTTCTTGAAGAAAAAAAAAATCATCCCAACACTATAAATTTCACAGTCATTGAAGTAAAGCCGGGCCGGCTAGCAGAGATTATTAGGGAATCTTACTTTTCAACGTCTAAATTTTCACAAACGTGAGGCCAGAAAGCGTGAATTTTTTTGAGGAATGATAAATACTTAAGAAACACACATGTCACGGACAAAAAAGCAAGCCAGCAGGGATTCCTGGAGAAAACGGTTTTTGCTGAGGATTGACGCCTCGAGTGTTAGCTGGCACGGTTTCTTTAAAACCGCGAAGCGGGGCTTTCTAGCTTTAGATCTTAGTCAATAAACCGATAGCATCATACAACCGACCGCAAAAAAAAATATAGAAAAAAGCAGATAAAAGTTTATATTATGTGAAGACCTTATCAACAAACGGAACAAATATACTGTCATCCCAATTCAATCCAATCCATTTTTTTTTTCTTGCGCCGCAACAAAAAGGGGTGGGTCTCCCGGCGGAACGGCCTTGATCCACAATATTTGGGCGGTAGAATGGATAGAGACCGAGTGGGTGCTGGCGATTTCTTTCCTTTCCGCTACGCGCCTTTTGTCGGAAATTGGGTGGGTGGCACACCTGCACCAGTTTATCCTCTGAATTTATAGGTTAGCAGGAGCCAGGTGGCCCAGGTGCTTGCAGAATCGCTGCCGGAAATAGGAAATAGGCCTGAACCAGATTGCTGCATTAATAGACAGGAAGAAAACAGCAATGGCAGTACGATATTTCGTCAAATTCTCCTCGGTTTTTTTTTCAAAAAAAATTTGAATTGAACTTTATTCTGAGTCGGAATTTATTGGTTCAGACCTGCTGACGCCAAAAATTCGAAAAACTTGGTGAGACCATACTTTAAAGGGACGCAGAAGCGAATTAAGGGTATCGACCCTTCAATCCATTGCATCTAGACAGCTACGCGACGTTCCAAAGAACGTACCACGCGTGTTCCTTTGGCACATAGCGTTTGAATAAGAACCACGGTTTTGTCTGATTGTCGAGACCTAGTCGTGGGATGGGGTCGATTTGGTCATTTTTTGGAGCTCGTTGACAGTGATATTCGGTTACTTCTCAGTTTTTTACGAAAAAATGAGAGTGAGAGGGAGAGATAGCTAAAGAGAGATACCAAAATCACCAAAATTCACACTAAAATGCCCGGAAAAAAAATGAAAAATTACGTTTCAAAGCTTGTATAAAGTGCAAATCGATTCCAAAACAAAACAGCTATTCTCGAATCATGAATGCGGGGGCGCACCCACCGCCTCCAATAGTTCCAAATCGGCCCCGGGAATCGATGACTGCCCCGTTTGTGATGGTTGGGAAAGAGAGAGGCAGCCGATAAGAAAAACGGAATTTACAAGCCGTTACCGCTGGAAAGGGGAAGAAGAGACGATGTGTGAGATTGCTGCCCAGCTCCTTCTCTCTTCCTGTCGATCACCACCTTCTCCTCTCTGCCTCTAGTCACAAATATTTGCCGACGTCTCCTGGGAGCGTCTACTGGACAGTTAGGAAATTTTGGAATTTTTTTGTCTTGAAATCTTGAGCCCGTTATCCCAAAATTCGAATAAAAATGTGGGGCAAAAGCACGCAACGTCAGTTTTCTCTGCCATTGCGCATAGAGTTTAGGGAAGGAAAGGGTACAAATAAAGATTTTCTTAACTAAGGATTTCATATAGATGCTACCGCGTCCGCGACAAGCAACGCATCGGTTTTCTCTGTCGTGCTTAGAACGGAACTGACGTAGGAACTGTGGCTGCGTTGCTTGATTGCGGTACGTACGCGTTGCGTGCTGCGTGCGCGGTCAAAACCCTGCAGAATCCGTAGCTAAAAAAACTAGAATACAGCCTTGCCCGACCCTTTAACGCTAAATAAGGATTTTTGCCTATGGGTTCCTTAAGGTTTAGGGTCTGCTCTGACCGCGACACGCAACGCGCAGCTTTTTGCCATACATGTGCACGCGCGTCGCGTCTTGCGGCCGCTTCCAAAGCCACTTAGAATCCATATAAAGGTGATACTTGGCCCCTTGAAAGTCATATTTCGAGCATAAAAGTACATTTTTCATAAAGGACCTTAAACGATACGAAAAAAATACGATTATACAAATAACAATCTTCAAAGGAACCAGCCAGCTACACGCCAGCCCACGCCGCGTGCCTGGGGCCCTCTCAAAGAAGTGCTGTGTCCAAATAATGGAGTGGTTAAGGGAATGGGGCCGCAAGCGTGAAAATGGTTGGAGAGAGAGAGGCGAACAAAAAGAAGTGCACATATGCGTGAGAGTAGGGGTGAAATGAGTGGTCGTGTGGTGGCGCCGACCACCGGCGGGCGGCTATTCAAGAAGATCTGGTCCCCCCACGCACCCAATGCCAAGCCATTCCCCTTAGCGCAACCTTCAAAGTGCCTCCAATTCCGCATCCGGAGTACTTGACTTGCACCTAGGGGATGAGGGGAAGGGGTCGAAAATCGAAAAAAAAACAGAAACAAAAAAACTAAAAGATACAGTCCTAGGTCAAGCGAGAGAGCGAGAGAGAGGCAAAGAAAGAGAGGGCGCGAGAAATCGTGAGAGAGAGAGTGAGAGAGAGAAATAATTAAAAAGTTCGTGCTCTTCGATTTATTGACAGCGGCTCCTGAATCATAGCGCCGCGTGGGCAATCTGTAGGCCGAGTCATCTTGGCAAATATTTCTTTTCTCTTCCGCTGTGGGACCCTTGAGCAACGAAAAATATTTTTTCAACGTCTGAACCGTTGGAGGGTCAAATCAACACTCCTAATTGAAAATTAGAGTTCTTCTATGAAATTTCTACAATTTTTAACTTTGAAAAGTAGAAGTGTCGTCGTTTTGAGAAAAAAAGAGGCCAAGTGGTCTGTTTTCATGAACCATTGAGGCGGAGAAAGAGAAAGAAGAAGAATAGAAGGGCTACTCGAAAAGAAGGCTTCGAGGTGTTTGAATGGATGTGCAAAAAGCGACCCCTTGAGGGCTGCATACATCCACGAAAGCACCAAGAGGAAGCAATTCTTGCTCAAATCATTTGAATAGCGATTGAGGGAATCATCCGTAGTGTTTTGGAAGTCTGGGCTTTGGATTGGAGATATTGGAAAGAGATGTAAGGAACATTGGATGATATTGGATTTATTCGCGGTCCTAACAGAACAGGAAAAGCAGCAGATTCCTTTAACAATTCAATTTTTCTGAATAAGGGGCAAGCTAGCAGAGATAATGGAGCCGGGGTTAACCAAATTCAAATTTAAATCGTGATTTATAGCGACGTTTCCGTGTTTTTACAAAATTGATGCATGGATTCATGCATATAACAAATACTTTTTCAGGAATAAGGATTTAATTTGGAAATCCGGGGCCACAATCCGGATCCCACGACATATACCCCACTCGCAACATGGTTCGCACTAAAAATGGCGCCCAAGGGAGTTAGCGTCGTGCTGGGAGAAGGCCTGACTCCTACGGTCATTTGTCAACCGGTGGGGAGAGCATAGTAAAAACGGAAACTGGAAAGATACGCAGCATATCTTAAAGAAACTCTTCGAGGCGCTGGTTGGAAAATATAATTTATCGTATTCGGAATAATGAAAAATGACCCATCCAATCGTGAATCTACTAGTGATATCCGGATCATCGTCGAAATAAGGCTATGTATGATTTTTAAGTTTTCAGCCACCGGGGATTCAGTGAATACTAAAGCTATAATAAAGTTCTCTGAAAATCGAAAACCGAAAGAGACAAAAACCGTCTGCCGAGGGTCTCTGTGACGACTACACGGGTATTTGTCCGCCATCCCGATCGACTGAATGGGATTTCCATAAATTCCATAAAACGACAGCGCACACAAAAAGCGGATGGCATCGGCCTGGAAAATCGGATACCCCCACTTTTCACGCGACCAATCGGGTATATGAAAAAATTTGACAAAGGCTCGGAAAAAATTTAAAATAATGTCAGCAATTTTTTTAACTCTGACGCTAGCCAAATTGTTTGCGAAAGGCAGATAGCAGAGATTCTTTGACCATCAAAGCCTTGACTTACCAAGCAAACATTTCACATCCTCGTAGCAGTAAATGTGGCCGCAAGTTGGTATTTCATCACAAGGGGCGTATTGAGACAGTACTGAAAAGGAATATACGAAAATCAAGCTTTAATGAAAACACAAACCTCCATAAGGCTGTTCTTCGCAGTTTGGCTCAAATCTCGAGTTTGTGATCGAGTTTGCCATCTAAAATTTTGAAAATATGATATTTGGTTAAAGTTAACAAAATAAATAAATGAAAAAGCACCTTTTAACAGATGTAAAGAAAAAAGCTGAAAATAGTAACAATTTGATACAAAAGACGCGTTTATAATTTTGTGAAGTAACTAACATGAATATCAATCTATTAACAAGTCTTAAAATGGCCGCTAGACAAATGGCTAAATTAAACAAAAACAAGCAAAATCCTTTAATTAAAAATTAAAGGAAACGAAAAATAATTTTAAGGTAATTAGCAAAATGCGTAAGCTTTTAATTGTCTAATTCATTCAAAAGCAACAAGCTACCGGACTGCATGCGATGCCAAAACCATCGAGAATTGGGCAGAACCGGCCGCCTGGAAGAGAAGATGTGTACCACAAGTGTGTGTATGTTTGTAAAGGGGGGACCCACACTTGGCGGCTCCGATGGCTTCCTTTGTACGGGCATGCACACACACAACAACAAGAAGAAGACCAAGACGAAGACGACGTGAGGATTCCATTTCCGAAAGACCGTAGGAATGGAGGGGCAACGTTTTGGAACATGGGTGAAAGGGAAAACGGTTCCGAGGTGATCTTCTAAGGAAAAGAACGAATCTTGGGTGCCGAGAACACGGATGATCATAATTTGGGTATTTTGCGGATTTTTAAAGGATTTTAATTTACTTACTTCCTACAATATATAAAAAAATAGTGTTTTCGTGTGTGTGTGTCACTTTGCATTCAACTTCCGCCATTCTGTCCGGAGGATATCTCTAGAGGCAACGGATTTTAAGGTATGTATGTATGATACGGCATTAGGTGCGCAAGGACCCCGAGATGACTGCACACTCATCAGATTTTACAAAATTAGTTATTTTCAACATTAAATTCAAGTTTCTGTAAAAAGCTCCGGCACCCTCTTTGTTAGGAATCAATTAGCATACGCCGGAAGGGGGTAAAGCCTATATAAAAGGATCGAGGGAGCGCTTTTCATTTTTTTTTATAGGAATCCGAGAAAATAATGCGAAGCGGAGCATATTGTCGGGTTTGGACGGGGCCAGGGTTGAAAAGTCGCGAAGCGAAGAAAACCCTGATGATTTTTAAGTTTTCAGCCATCCGGGGATTCAGTGAATACTAAAGCTATAATAAATTTCTCTGAAAATCGAAAACCGAATGCGACAAAAATCGTCTGGGGAGGGTCTCTGTGACGACTACACGGGTATTTGTGCGCCATCCCGATCGACTGAATGGGATTTCCATAAATTCCATAAAACGACAGCGCCCACAAAAAGCGGATGGCACCGGTCCGGAAATGGGATACCCCGCCTTTCACGCGACCAATCGGGTATATGAAAAAATTGACAAAAGTCTCGGAAAACATTTAAAATAATGTACACAGAAATTTTTTAACTCTGACGCTAACCAAATTGTTTGCAAAAGGCAGATAGCAGAGATTCTTTGACCATCAAAGCCTTGAGTTACCAAGCAAACATTTCACATCCTCGTAGCAGTAAATGTGGGCGCAGGTTGGTATTTCATCACAAGGGGCGTATTGAGACAGCACTAAAAAGGAATATACGAAAATCAAGCTTTAATTAAAAACACAAACCTCCATAGGGTTGCTCTTTGCAGTTTGGCTCAAATCTCGAGTTGTTTGTGATCGAGTTTGCCATCTAAAATTTTGAAAATATGATGTTTATTTAAAGTTAACAAAATACATAAATGAAAAAGCACCTTTTGAAAGATGTAAAGAAAAAGCTGAAAATAATAACAATTTGATACAACGACGCGTTTATAATTTTGTGAAGTAACTAACATGAATATCAATCTATTAAGCTAACGAGCAGAATTTGGAAGAGGACAAGTGTTTAAAATGACCGCTAGACAAATGGCTAAATTAAACAAAAACAAGCAAAATGCTTTAATTAAAAATTAAAGGAAACGAAAAACGATTTTTAAGGTAATTAGCAAACTACGTCGCTTTTAATTGTCTAATTCATTCAAAAAGCAACAAGCTACCGGCCTGCATGCCATGCCCAAACCATCGAGAAATTGGGCAGAACCGGCCGCCTGGAAGAGAAGATATGTACCACAAGTGTGTGTATGTTTGTAAAAGGGGGACCCACACTTGGCGGCTCCGATGGCTTCCTTTGTACGGACATGCACACACACAACAAGAAGAAGAAGACCAAGATGAAGACGACGTGAGGATTCCATTTCCGAAAGACCGTAAGAATGGAGGGGCAACGTTTTGGAACATGGGTGAAAGGGAAAACGGTTCCGAGGTGATCTTTTGTGGAAAGGAACGAATTTTGGTGCAAAAATTACAGTATCACCGGGAATTTCGATTTTCTTGGTATTTTGTGCCGCTTTTCTGTAGCTATTAAACCTACAAATTGCCGATTAAATCGGAAATTTTCAAGGTTTTACGTTGACTACGTCCTAAGACTACAAAAAGCTTAATTGATGTTCCGTTGGTCCGCTCATTCACCCAAGCGGATCCGTGTCAATACTAGGGCCACCCAGCCCCTCCGTTCCGCGTCTTTTTTGCCTTTGCGTCTCTCCCCCCTCTTTCCCCTCGCCTGCATCCGTTCGGCCCGTCCGATTTGACAGAAAAAACCCTCGTCAAGCCGCGGATCGTCACAATCCGGACGGTGCCAACGAGAAGCTCGGAGTTCGGATGGGGTAGACTTGACACCGTCGGTATAGCATTAAAAATAAAATATGGGGATCACCGCTTCCTTTTACCGTTAAATGCATAGGACTACAAATGGCGTATCTCTAAACTCCCCTGCCCAAAAAGATATTTTAGCGCTTACTGACTTATTTTCAAATCGGATTTTACCTACAAGGATTCCGGAAACTGCCCAATGTAAACTTGCAACGATGCTTTGGAACCTTGGGAATAAGGATGACGGTTTCACATCCCTAACAGGAAAAGATTACCCTATTTTTCTGGGCTTTTCCGGAGCGTCTCGGACGATGATGTGTTATTTTTAGGGTAAGGTAATTCTTGGGATTAACTGGTTTGATTCGAATCCCGTGATAAAACTTCTACAGTCCGTCGCTCCAATTTCTGGCCTTTTTCAAGTGCATATCCCGGTGGTTAGTCTAAATTTAGCACGAGCGCATCCTTTTTTAGAGCATCCCCTCATCTTTGGATGTTGCAATTTGTGGGTGGCGGGGGCCCAAAAAAGATGCAAAAGCCGCCCGGGGGATGGCAAATGGCTACTCAGATTTCAGCCCGACGCCACGTGCCTACGCCGGCGTCAACTGACGATGCAAAGATTCTGATTTTTCAAGATCTTAACTTTAATTGTCTAATTTTGTCCGTTGCGTTAGCATTTTTTTTTTTGAAAAACTTATTTTACGCCTTTAAAGCGTCCGTTTTTGAAAGCTTATCGAAGTATTTCTGGCGGGATTTGGTCGTTCTGCTTATTGATCACTAAAGTTCTCCTGGAAATTAGCTTATTATGATTATTTTCCACATCAGAATATTTTGCAAAATACCTGCGTGATTTCCCAAATTTCCCGCACGCCCTCGCTTGTTTGTTTGTGCAGCTTCGGCCGAACGCTTGATCCAAATTTGGGTGCACTCGGAAATGGGTGGAATTCCTAGTTTTCGGATGGGATTAACAACAGTTCTATGACACCAGTTTATTGCTTTTGAGCCCTAAAGGTCCATACCAATACGGATTTACGGCTATAGCGCTCTTCCGAAATTAACGGTTTTCCCGTTCTTCCGTTTTTGAAGCATTTCTGATCTTCCGAACGCTTCTATTTAGTCTCCCAAAGGTCTTAACTAGGAATTACGGTTCATACCACGGCGTAAATGCGTAGCGGTCGTGTTGCGGTTCGAATAACATAGTGTGTGCGTGCTTATGGGTTCTTATGGCTTTTTCGCAAATTACTTACTTTTGAATATTCTATTGCTTTTTAAATTTCGATCAGCATTCCCATTTGGTTTTTCCCTTAGAAATCTACACGTGGCAAGCTGGCAGAATTCATTCGCGAATTAAAGCCTTTATTTATGAAAGTCGTAAAACCCCAGGGAATAGCGGTATTAGTTTTATTTTCCCTCTGTTCTTTTATGAAATTTTCTATGAAGCAATCCATCAGAAACCGTTTAGGAACGTCCCATTTATGCAAATTTATGAGCTCCAGAAAAACCTGTGTTTCTTGTTGTCGCCGACCTCCAAAAACTAGCGTTCGGCCCGTTCGACGATCAGCTGGAATCTCAAAAATTTTGTTTTTAGCCTCGAGCCCAGGTGGAGTTTAGTGAAAAGAACCTCAAGGTGGGGGCCCTTTTTGCATAATTTTTGCGTGAGAACCGGCCGTTTTTCGGGGGCCACACCAGCTAGAGGCCCATCAGTCGGAATGGCCAATGGAAGGAGGAGGAGGGACACCAAGTCGGATCATATTTCGCGCCCCGGAAGAACTCTGCTTTTTTCTTTTTGGTTATGCTTTGGACTATATTCCTCTTGGAAGGTTCGCCAGATGCAAGGCGTTCATATCTTTTGCTACTGTTTTAAGGCATCGTACGTTACGTTCCAATGTACATTTCTCGTTTCTACATTTCTACATACTTACTTAACTTACTTAACCTACTTAAAGCCTTTTAAAGAGTGAAGCTTAATAAAATCTTTCGGTCCTTATTAAACCTCCTCTTTCGGCTACGTTGCGCACCGAGTTACGTTTTTGAATACCTATGTTTTGCGTTGCGGTCGTAGCGTTGTTAAAAAATTATAAACCCGTGTGGTTCCGTATATTTTTTAAAATTTTGGAATCAGAATTATACGAATTATACAAATCCGAATGATTTTAATTATTTTAATCCGATCGTAATCATTTTCTAACATAACCGGTTTGACCGCAACCTAATTTTAGCTGAAATGTTTTGATTAGCCCATCACCTCTTCAATTTGTTATTTTTCGAAAATATTACGAATTTTCTTGGAATTTACCTTTTTCTTAATCCTATTTTCAACTCCCAACCATATTTTT